GATTGAATTATCAATTATTAATATTTATAAAACATGTATAAAAATTAAAAATGCCAAATTAATCTTTGTAATAGTAGTTATTTTAAGAGTAATCGAATGACTTATATTAATAAATTACCCCGTAAATATAACACTTAAATTTTTTAAATTATATTATATTCTAATATATAAAAAAAATTTAATTATTTAATTAGTTATATAAAAAAATTTTTGGAAATATTTTTATTTATGTTTATTAACCAAAAACTGACAGATTTTTTTTAAAATTATAAATTTTATTAATCACACTAGATATAGACTGACTTAAAAAACGGTAGGTATAAAGAATTAATACGTGTACTTCATGATAATGCTTGTTTTTTTAAAAGTTTATTTCCTGAAGGTAAATATAAAGTTAGTGATACTGACTCATTTTTTTCGAACCTATTGTCCATAATAAATAAGCATCCAAAATAATAATTTTTCATATAAGTTAAACTTTAGTTTTCATTGGGTTTCCATTGTGCGCACCTCACAGCCAACTGTCTTAATAGAGTTTGTTACAAGTCGTTCAAGGAATAGTCAAGGTAAAGTGTGGTGACGGCGGCCGCTATTTGACGTAAACTATTTCAATGTAATGTATACATTTAATGTTAAACGCAGTGAAGACTCGTGGGTGCTGGTGGTGGGGGTGCGAATTTAAATGTAATACCTCTAGTTATAGGTATAAAAAAATTGTCAAATTGAATATAAAAAAATAAAATGCAATACACATATTATTATTTTAAAGGTGCTGTAGAAAATAATAATAATAACCAATAGAGATTATACTATTATAGCAACCGATAATGACGAACATAGTTAATTCAAAAAATATAATACCAATTATAGTAATTATATTAATTATATATATAATTAATAGTAATATACTAATTTTAACGAGATGTATTTCTAAGCATCTGGTGGTAGGCAATGATAAAATACTATGTAAAAATACAAATGCAGATGCCTATGAACTTTATAATATAGCGGTACCTTTGATGTTGGAAATATGCTTAGCTATGCGTCTGGTAACTGGTGATAAAATTCTTAGAAATTATGCCATAAGGACAGACGTTGTCATTGTTCTCATAAAATGCTGACGCCTAAGGGCGTTATAATACAGTACTGATGTCGGAAATATGCTTACCTAAGCGTCTGGTAGGCAATGATAACATTCATAGAAAACATTGTTTAAGTTGGATTCATTCCCACCCATTATAGGTTAGTTTATGTTATGTTTCATTACACCTTTCTTATATAGGAATTGTTGAGGGAGTCGTAGCGTTAATATTAAGTAAATATGTTAAAGTGGCAACGGCGGCCATTATTTGACGTACTTATTTCAATGTAACGTGTATGTTTATCAGTGAACGTTATCAGTTCACATGAGGTTTACCTTACCCTCCAGTAGATGACATCGTAGGAGGAGACAACCATTCCCGAATGGCTACCTCCCCCACCACAGACATGAAGTTTTAGTGCGCATGCGCACATTAAACCGCCATTTTGATTGATCTTAACATCCCTACCTAAGTCACCTATTACCTCCACCATCGTGGTATTACGCCTCCTCCTTTCCCCACTATATAAGACCAAACCTCCCTTTTCCTTCGCTATGATAAGACCACGCATCCCTTACCCAATCAATGATAATACCACGCCTCCTCCTTACCCCCACCATCATAAAACCACGCCTCCCTTATCCCCACCCTCATAAATCCACTCCTTCCTTATTCCTACCATCGAAAGACCACGCCCACTGTGTGACCATGACGTTACCCCCACCATCGAGAGACCACGCCCTCTGTATGACACGCCTCTCCCCCAACAACCAACAATAAGGTTGGTTGGTGAAGGGGTGAGGCGGGGGGCGCAGAATCCCCAATATTACCCTACTCATATAATATTAAAGTTTAAGGTGTAAAATTATAGCAGCTTTGTATGTAAAAAAGATTTATATATTATGCTTTATATTATAAAATCTTAGTGTTGCTATTATTATTTTTATATACATTCCAAATATATTTTTTAATTACTAAATAGACGAATTAAAAAAATGTGTATTATATTTTAATTTTTTTTAGAGGTACTTCCTCTTAATTGGATCTCACTTAACACATAGGGTAGGCTGGGTAGGGTTTGAATATAGATTTGACTCCTTCAGTGCTTTAGTTGTCTCATCAATAAGACCGAAATTGTGCATTGATGATAAAAGTATAACTATTTTAGTAGGTTTTGGTTTAGAAGAAATAAGGGTAAATGTTTTTGAAATCTAAATATGGCATTATTTGTCTCACGGTTTTTTGAACACTGTGAAAGATAAGTCACTGTAATATTTCTTTTTAATTTTTCCGAACCAACCAATGGAATATTAGTATACCAGTTATCAGTAATGATCTTCGAGATTTTGTGGTACTGATTGGTTGACACCTGCTAACATCAATGGACCACTTTAGCGCACAATTTTACTTTATGTCATTTAATTGACATCTCCTTCTTTGTAAACTCCCCGTAAAAGTTAGTAAATATATTTTTTTGTACAACGTGTAATTATACGGGTTATCACAAAATAATAAATCAAAATAATCCATAGTATTGTAACGTCACAAATTCGAAGGTGGACCGTTGATGATTTTTTTGTTATGTCTACTTTTTTATTTTATCGTGCGAAAGAACCTTTTTCTGACACAGCGGTGTCAACCACTCATTATTTTGCCGCTGACTGNGTGTCAACCACTCATTATTTTGCCTCTGACCGCTAGATAAGGCGATAAAAGAGAAATATAATTAAAATCGAATTGTTTATCAGTATTGATCCCTTCCAAAAAGACTGGCCGTTATCGATTTGAAATTGCCGTTAGATCGATATTGACTCTTCTCTATTCTTTCTTCTGTCATTGACCGTGCTAAGGTGCACACGTTTATTTTTTTATTGACACTTTTTTTACAATGATTGAGTAGAACCGCCAACGGCGAACGGCCAGGTCTTTTCGACGAAGCATCCAAACCATCGGATGGGTCTCTTCGGAGACCGGGTATCGTTTTCTTTTTTATATTATATTTATGTATTGAGCTATATTTTATTAATTATTCNTTTATGTAATGAGCTATATTTTATTAATTATTTTATTTCATTTTATTTTATTGTAAATTAACTTAATTTTGTTTATGTGTGGAGAGCACGTGTTTCCCTTTTCTTCTAGCCAACGCTAAGAAGCGAGTGTCCAGACCGCTCCTGGTGTTCTTCATTAATTTCCGATTAACATTAACGGACGTGTTCCAATACCGTCCGTGATGTTTGTAATATTATTTGTTCAAATATTTTATTGTATTTGTATTGCCTTTATTTGTAGACATGGTTTTTGATGCGTTCGCATTTTTGTCCATGTTTAACTTAATTTTCTTTTTTTAAAAATTAAATTAAATTTCCTTATTAATTTCAACTGTAATATTTATTTTATTGCGCGAGTAACTTAATTACTCGCGTGTATTTCATTCCTATTCCTTAATCTAGACACAGGCTACGGTATGTTTTACATATCAACCACATACAACTTTGATTGTCATAATTGTGTTCTGTAAACCACGAGGCATTATAGTAATTTATACATATAATGACATATTAACTTAGATTATACTTTTAATTAACTTAAAATTAAATTCCACCTATGGTCCGGTAAACTTATCTGATAGGTGTGACACCTCGTCTAGGTGGTGGCGACCCTTGCTACTCTAGCTAGTCGTTATGCAAGTGGCAAACCACGTTGTTGTTACAAGCCAATATATAAAAAGCCCGCTTGCAGTATCTGATTTATTTTTAGCCATTGATTTCATCCGGGTAAATGTATTATAATATGAGAACGCGTACGCAAAGTATTAGGACGCTTATTTTTAGCCATTTAGTTTTCTTATCTTTTTTAAAATAAAACTTGGTTCTTGATTAATCACTATCAATATCGGGAAAGTCAGTTTCTGAAACGCTTTGTTAATTATCATTTATAGTATATTCAATGTAATCGTGTATTTCACTATTACCACACAACTAATCTATGTGAGAATCAAAATCATGTACAGTATCTAGTAAGTTTAAAGTATGGTTTTGTTCACATAAGTCTATACTCAATTGCAATTTTTCATATAATTACACAGTAATAAACACATCATTATTTACTATTTTAAGTAACATATTTAAAATATACGTAAATAAATTGAAATATAAATGAAAATAAATGTACGATTGGCATAACAGTATCTTCATATATCATTTATATTCCTACTTAAAATAAATAACAAATAAACAATAAAATAATGACATTGAACTATACGTGGATCTCAGTACAAAATTTTGTGTTCGTGTCGATTGGTTTTAAAATTATCAAAATTTTTTTATCATTTATTTATAATTTATTTTGTGCAAAATATGAATTTATTAAATTGTTATTTTGCATTAATCGTTATTTTAATTCAGTCACTATCATCAAATTTTGTGGTATCCAAATTAATCTCATATGAAAAAATTGAAACTCTTAAAAAAGTACTTGTGAATGTGGATCTACGGAAGCAATTCAAGAACATAACTGTTAAAGATAGGAAATGCGGGATCGAGAAAAAGTTAAAAGTTAATAACATCTTTGATGATATAGACAACGGAAATAATACAGATCAGAATAATGAAAAGCCTGGTGAAGTACGCTCGTCAAAATCTTTGCTTGTTAATTCAAGCAATTATGAAGAAAAGGTAGACTTAATTTTTAAATTCGTAAGGTGTAAGTGTTGTAGACATATTAAGTGGTTTAATCGACTTTTATCATACATGACAAGTGAATATGATAGGATCTGCAATGAAGAAATTAATACACAAGAAAAAACAATGACCTTAAAAATAAAGAGTATGCTTCTTATAAGAATCCAGGAATATAAAGAATTAGTACGTGTACTTTATGATTATGCATGTTTTTTTAAAAGTTTATTTCCTGAAGGTAAAGATAAAGTAAGTGATACTGACCCATTTTTTTCGAAACTATTGCCCATAATAAATATGCCATTACCTGAAGGTGATTATTTTGCAAATGATTTTAGTGAAATATTAAACAAATCATATATGGATTTTTATACTAATTCAAAGAGTTTGTGTGTTTATTCAAAAAACATTCCTCACAAGGATTCATATAACAAAAAATACAAACGAAAGTTGGCTAATGTAAAATATAAGAAAAGCTTTGCAGAATATATAAGTAGTCAATTACATTCAGTTGCAAAAGAAATTTATGATTCGTTTCCACAGTTGCCATTAAATGAAAAATTAGAATAATACATAAGATTGAATTATCAATTATTAATATTTATAAAACATGTATAAAAATTAAAAATGCCAAATTAAACTTTTATAATAGTAGTTATTTTAAGAGTAATCGCGTGATATAATAATTTAATTTATAAACCCAACCCCGTAAATAAAACTCTTAAATTTTTAAAATTATATTATATTCTAATATTTAAAAAAAATATAATTATTTATTATTATTAGTTATATAAAAAAATGTTTTGAAATATTTTTATTTATTTATATTAACCAATAACTGACAGATTTTTTTTTTAAATATATATTTTATTAATCATACTAGATATAGACTGGCTTAATAAAAATTATAAATTATTTGTTCTTATATATTGCTATATTGTCATTTCAATAGTTATATAAATACATATAATATGAAAGTATTTAAATTGATATCTCATTTAAAGATTTTTAATTATGAAACTAAATATTTAGTTTAGTGAATATGTGTTCCTTAGGTATTATAGTAGTTATTCTTACATTAATTTTGTTTTTCCGATATAATTTCTTACATTGTATGTTATTTGACTTACAAATATGGTTGAAAAGTTTAAGGTGTAAAATTATAGCAACTTTATATGTAAAAAAGATTTATATATTATGCATTATATTATAAAATCTTAGTTTTGCTATTATTATTTTTATATACATTCCAAATTTATTTTTAATTACTCAATAGACCAATTAAAAAAATGTGAAAAGATAAACCTCGCGTGTCACGTGTTAACACATACTAGTTCGATTACCAATTTTATCAAAAAACGAATGCGACGAACATTTGCCGATTTATTAAAAATCATTGCCACAGGTAACAATTAATTCTTTGTGAGTTAAAATTTTGCTTTTGTATAATCCCTCAATTCTTAAAATTAAACACTATCTTCAGATTTGCATCGAAGCGTTTATAACGATAGCGATTTTAATCACTGTAAGACAGTGGTGGTTCGTGGGTGCTGGTGGTGGGGGTGCTACTTTAAATATAATACCGCTAGTTATAGGTATAAAAAATTGTCAAATTAAATATAATAAAATAAAACACATATTATTATTTTAAAAGTCGCAGTAGAAAATAGAAATGAAAATAATATTAGTAGCGATTACACTATTATAGCAAACGAATAACGACAAGTGTACATGTAGTTAATTCTAAAAATAAATTACCCAATATAGTAATATACTTATAATATTTTATCGTATGGAAGACGCTGCCGGTCATCCAAACACTGCTCGTGTGTGCATATACTTAGGGAAACAACTTTAACATTCGCACAAGACAAATGTATTACAACTATTTTACTATCTAATAATTTGTATTTTTAATAAAAATGTAGAATTAATAATATACACAATTAATTTTCTTCTTTTAATTAATTTTAAGTAAGGAGTGCGATCGTCCCGTCGTCCAAACCACGAGACGCCACTGCTGTCAAATATCATCTATACTAGTCCCAACTAGCCACTCTCACACTGTGCTACCGTTTTTAGTAAATAACTAATCTATTTTATCAATAGAACTGATTATCAGAGACATTTTAACAGTTTAATTTATTGATACGAGTATTTTTATGTAATCCATGTAGCTGTAAATGAATATTTAAGTCAACATCAAATTGGAAAGTTTGTTTAAAAAAATGTTTAACCAACAACACTTATGAAGTATTGTACCTTACCTAAAAGTTTATACTAAACGGATTTTGGATAAAACTATGCCATCTTACACACACATACAGATTTTAGTGTATATTTTCAAGAGTCAAAACTGTACTACCCTTTTACTTTTTTTGTATGTGTTGTATATTGTTTAAGGGAAACTATGTATTTTTTTTAGCTGCATCAACTTTCAGTGTAATTACAAGATTCCAAGTCTGTTTAGACGTTTACCCTCTTCAATAGTGATAATATATATTTTTTTTGTTTTTAATAACGTGTCACCTCACAGTTGAAGGGTAGATAATGTTATATATAATGTAAATCGATACTCACTATTTGACACATTTTCCACCCAAAAGTTTTGGGAAATGAAAAGTTATCTAATAAAAAGTATTTTTAATTGAAATTTCCGACGTTTGGCATTTATCGGATCCTTATTTTTGATGAAACCGGGTTTCCAAATAGTTGCTTAAAAAGTTTCATAAACGCGTGTTGAAAATATCAAAAACAATACCTTTCTAAATATTTAATGTTTATAAAACATTATAATAACATGCAAGTGATTTTTCATAATACGAAATGTCCCTTTAAACTTACCATTTGATATTATGCAGGATAAGCTGAGAAAATCAGTTTGACAAAAAACTTTAACATCCATGTGGATAACAATGCACTACTTCAGTTGTCATTGAAATCAATAAATAAATGATTTTTTTTATTTCATTAAAAAATAAATAAATATAAATAGTGTACTTATAAAGATAAGCAGTATAAAAATGGGTTCAATCATTTTATAAGTGATTTTAATTTTGAAGTGAATTTTTTTTTAATAATTTAAACGTATGAACACATTAAGCACAAAATAGTTTTTAATTTTTAATACAAGTATTTTTTTTATTTATTTTTTGATATCAAATATCTGTTGTGATTTTAAGTTTTATAATATTGCTTTTGTAATTTCTAATTTAAAGTCATTAATACTGTGTTTATTGAAAAAAAAATTTTATGTACGATTAAAGGTCAATCTTCAAATAATTCCATATAATATTATTCAAATGTATAGCCTTAATTATGAAAGAGCACATGGTGAAGTAGATAAAAATGTACGATGTTCAGGATGTTTTTTTTGTGTCTCGTATCATTTATATTTTGGAAAAATAAATTACGACTAGAGAGACCTATCATCTAATTTTCCCTGGTAAAAAAAAAAAAAATCGGCTAACAGTGAAAATAAAATTACTAATTAGATTTATTTGGTTAATATTTAAGCAAACAGGAAAAATGATGTAATCTCCGTATTTAACATTCTTGTTATAATGAATTGTATTCTTTAGGAATTGGTCACGCGATTCATCAAAATAGAAGTTCCTAGGTCTTTCTATTTCTTGACAAACCATTTGGCTACTGTTTATAATAACATAAATATTTTAAGTATGTCAATAAATACGTATTTCTAAAAATTAACATTTTTTCTGTGGAACCAATACACTATAAACGGCGACCTTTTTTGTTTATCTTATGCTATACCGCTATAATATGCAATTCAATCGGGTTTATGAATGACCGCCGTTAGGCCGCAGAGGATCTTAATAAGAATATTTCCTAGTACTTCAATTTAAATTCAGTAGATAAAGCCTTTGAGACTTATTATAAAGACTATAAGCGATGCCGTCTAAAGATTGTCATCGGTTTATTACTTCAATTAAACAAAATCGAGCCATGTTTAGTAAGTACGCGGCAAGTTAATAATGTATTTGTATATAAATACAATATGTACATACATACATTCTGTATAGATAAGAGAGTTAAGGTTTATATTCATGTTATTGAGAAACAAAAGCATTTCTCCAGGGAATTGTGGTCACGGACCACAATAAGGGTAACCCCGAAGCTAAATGAACTCTTCTTTGAAATGTTTTAAAATCAAGATTTTGCATAGCAATTAACATAATTTTTAGCGAAAAAATACCCTATAGGTTATACGAAATCTGACGTAGGAAAAAATGTATTTGTTTAAAATAATTTATTCGATATTTATTAATATTTAATTTAATGATAAACCGTTCATTCAGATTACAATAACGTTAAAAATTTTAATTTAAACATTCAAACTCTTATAAAAAATAATAAGTTAAGTTTTATCATTCAGCTTGAGGAATTATTATGAGTAATAAATTCATCAAAGGCAGCAAAATAACAGTCTTAAATAAATAAATAAATAAATGTTCAGCAAATAAAAACCGCTTGAACGGTTATGAATAAAAATGTTTTTATTTTTTTTTTTTTGATTGACTACTCGAATAAAATGATCCAATTACAAAGAGTACCTAATCAAGTTTTCACTTTTATGTCATCTTCGCCGAACTCATCGTCTTCATCTTCGCTCGCTTCAACCATAGCTAGTTTTTCGAAACCGGCATGAGGTTTGTAATTGAACATATTACCCAATGTAAAACCTTCTGCTGGACTGGAAGTCCGCGGTTGCCAACGACCGGATATCTTGTCCCTCCGATGAACTAAACAAAATAATAAAATTGTATAAGATAATTTAACTGTCGAGAGTGGACAGATAGTCTACAAGATTAAAAGCTCCGTATTCTCATGCAATTATCTTGTGAGACGAATAAAACAATTAATAGTTATTAGAACTTATATACATAAATACATAAATTTGATCCTAAAACTAAATGTAGTTCTATTAAAAACCATTTAAGACTTTTAATAACGGAGAGTATTTCATTTGTATTGCCATTTTTATGTATGCCTATCATCATGCAAAATATTAATTTGTTATAAATAACTAGGGATGTGTCTATAAAAATATTTTTATGTCATTCAAAAAGTTATAATATTAATAGTCAGAAGCTGACAAATATATGAAGCTAAGCTCTCCAAATCATATATATTTTATATGAAATAATTTTTAGGGTGATAAATACAATTAGAAACATCAAACATTTTACTCTAATTGCACCCATCAATTTATAGAAATTAGGTCAATGAAATTTTGAATTATCATTTAAAACAAATTAGCTTGTATTCATAAATTTTATAAATACTAGCTTTATAAATAACACTAATAAATGTTCAACACTATTTATTTTATTTTATAAAATCAGTAAAAATTTATATTTTCATCAATTTGAAGGCTTTTATTAATAAAAGTATTCAAATACTGGTAGCTATGTGTACTAAAACATTTGAATTGATCTACACTTTTATTAATAATAGCCAGACATATTCAGAGATCACGTTTGTTTTTGATTCGAAGAAACAGTATTTATATGAATAGAGAGAATGTGCATTGTCAAAGATCATTTTTCGCTTATCTATCTTTCAAATCAACACGAGATAAAACTGATTTAAGTTCGAAAAGCCAATTTATAATCCAATAGGATAATTTCTCGTAAATATTAACTATTCATTAGATAAAATGGAATTTATGAAAAATATATGTATTACATGAAGAATTTATTACACTATCAATAAAATATTTTCATGATCAAAGATATAAAAATTAAATAAATGCCAAAAATCATATAATTTTCGATAAAAATGACCGATTTTGAAGTTTTTTGTAAAGCAACGGGTTCATGCACCATTTTAGATTAAAGTTGGTTTAATTTGCTATATTATGATTAAAAAAAGAAAAAAGTTTTGCTAACTTATTCTTTATGAGTAATCGGTCTCATAAGTCAAAAGTCGTGTAATTTTTGAGAAATGTGATAATTTTTTTAATGTATTATCAATACGCACCCAAGCGAAAGTAATTTTAATCAATAATAATCTAAAAAATGCCTCAATTCTACTACGTTGTATCCCGACCGATTCTACTTAAATACAAAAATAAATATTATTACAGTATTTCAATAAGTGGAACATTATTAAGTCAAAATAAATTGTGTTACGTTATCTCAACGTTGATTACTTGAAAGAAAAACTATGGATAATTCGAAAATATTATTTTTAGTTTATTGTAAATTTGTTTTTTTTTTGCAACAATTTTTCGATATATTTAGAAAAAACTATGACAATTTGACTTCGTTGTAGTTAATAATTATTCTAATCGTATTATTGAATCTAAAATTATTTACAACTTCATTAAATTTAAAATTGCCAATTGGGATAGATCGGATACTAGTTTATGACTTAGAATTGTTAATGTAAAAATGATTCTAATAAATTCTTAAGAGTCTTTAAATAGAATTTCTTTTTTAGCTTCGATGCGTTTATAAACCTTGATTACTCGAAACTTCAATAGTTTGAAAACGTCATAAGCCAAAAAAAAAAAGTGATTTCCTTTGAGCATTGACTTTAACAAATTACTGTATATTCATTTTCATACGAAAATAGTAAAATAATAATAAACTAGTCGAGTTATGATATTAATTCAAGTAAAATAATAATTTTCAATTGTGCTAAGCAATGTACTTTATCATTTGACGTTAACAGTGAATCATTAATGTTTCAAAATAAGTGAGAGAAATATACCACAAACATAAATATACACATGTTAAATTTTATACTTTTATAGATAATTATTGTAAAAATTAAGTACTTCAGTTAATAAACTCTAAGTGGTAGTTGGAACATGCGAGAAAAATGTATAAACATTGTGTAAAATTATGTTTGATTAAGTTAACAATTAAATGAAATGGTTTGATAGTTGTGTAAAGGCCTAATTAATTTTTTATTGTTAGTATGAAATATGTAAACAAACTTGCCAAGTAAAAATAATAAAACACTTCTAAACTAAGTTATATTTTTGTCGACATAAAACTTATATAGGAATAATTATATACAATAATGTTTTTAAATAAATAAAAAACATCTTTCTAAAAACTTTTCTAATACAAGGGTTAAACATTTTTATTAAAGGAATGTAATAATGAGATTTTATAAAAAGATTTCTTACTTCACAACATCAAAATATCAGTAATGAACTTAATTTAAATTAACTACAAAACTGAAATAAACTTTCTTACAAAACTAGACGCTCAAATTAATTTTACTTTTTTATGATCATTTTTATTATATAGATGACTTAAATCAAATATATGTTACATAGATTACTATTATGTTTTTGAGGAGTTTTTCATGATTTCTTTTCCTTCAAGTAATAACATATTATGTGTTATAACTTTTTTTTGAGTTCTATAGATTACATTAAAACTATATTTGATCAAATTTTTATTTTTTATATTTACACGCAAATTAAAGTACTTTACATGTTTTTAAAACATTTTTGCACATTTATTCACGAAATCATGATTTCGTGAATAATTATAAATTTATTAAAAAATATATAAGTTTATGTTTTTTAAATATGAACTATATATTTTAAATGATATAATTCTTCGTACAGAAGAGTACATGACACACTTACTGATCATAATCATATTATCAATTAAAACTGTAATGAATTATTATTAATCGTCATAGTTTAAAACTTTTCACAATTATTAAATATTAGCAGTAATTGAATAGTCATGTTAGTGACGTTTGTTTTAGTATTTGTTAGTTTAGTCGCTATTTTATATAAAATTATATTTACAAACTACAACGTACATGAAAACAATATTCATAAATACTTTGATAATTTAAAAGTGTTATAAACTCTATAAAGTTAAAACATTTTTGAAAACTTTGGAGAGAAACGCCAGTGTAATAGGATACATGCTGTAATATGACCATTAAAGTATTCATATATTGTGTAAAATTTTATAACAGACCCTCTAAACTATTTTAATCGTTTTTATACGTATGTTAAAGGAATAATTTTGTATTTACTGCAATATAAGATCAAAGAATATTATATTCTATATGATTACTTGCCCACTTATTTATTATTAACAATTTACCTTTTCGATGGTACAGAATTCTACTTAATTACATGTAATGGTTACTGCCATAAGTATAATTTTAAAATACTAACAAAAAGTAATTTTAATTTTTATATTTAAAAATATATTAAAATAGTGAATTTTACTGTATGCTGTAAATTTAATAACATAAAAAATATGTATCTTTACAAATTAAAAATGTTTTAAACTATTTTAATTATTTGAAAGATTCTTAAAATTAGCATGCTAGCCAAAAAGTAAACAATTTTTAATAATTACTTTCAATTACTGGGTTAAATAAAATTAAGCATGTGAAATAACAGTGAATATTTAATTAAATATGTCGTACATAAAAAAATATAACTCAGAAAGTTTTACTACCGTAAAATTGTTTTTCCAAGTAAAAACGATTGCAATATAGGGAGAAATTTTGTAATTGGTGTAGTTATTATTATTATTTTTTTTTTATGAGTGGATAACAAGAATCTTACATGATTAAGTAAATTAAATAAATTATCATTGCTTTTTTATAAACATAAATAGTTTAAACCAGCTATTTCTAAATTAAATATACAATTTTACATTAATATTTAAAATAGTACTTAATAATTTAAGCTACTTATTTATTTTAGCCTAAAATATATATTTTGACTATGATTATACAGAGTGATCGAAATTTGGTCAGACACTCATTTTCTTTATTGAGAATTTTTAATTTTTGTAAAGAGAAATAATATTAGGTTCAAAAAACTACAATAATATGTAATTAGATCGTTTTTTTTCGTCCTTCACGAAAAAAAAATTTTATTTTTAATTTTATTATATAGAAATCCTTATTCTTAACTTCATAATTAAGTAATAATAGAGGTTCTCATGCCGATGACAGTGCAACCGATCATATTATAGCCCATAAATTATTTATTATAGTAATTATCAAGAAAAATGTTCAATAACAATAATATATTGTCGCTATCAAAATAGATTATTGTTGCTACCAGTATTATAAAATCAAATCAATGATGAATTTTAAACAATCTGTATAATGCAAACGGTTGATCGCATAAAAAAATTGTAAATACAGAGTTATTTGTAATTTTTTTTTCTATCATATTATAAAGTTAAAAGTAGGGGTTCCCATTTAAGAAAATTATAAATAAGAATTTTTTTCTCTGGAGTAACAAAAAAAAATTAACTACATATTTTGTAGAATTTTTTGAACCTGATACTCTTTTTCTTTACAAAAATTTTAATTCTCAATAATATCCGAGAAAATGAGTTGTTTATCAGATTTGGATCACGCTCTTTAAGAAACATTTTGTGTGACCATAGATTAAAATCGAATTTTAAATAAAAATAAATATCGATGAACATTCTGTTGCGCTGAATTATGTGTGTTATCTAGTTCTCTCTGATACAAGCAATAGCTTTTAGTGAGGACGTTGAACATGAACATAATCGGATTAAAATTTTATTATATGCAGGGTGGCTGTTTTTATAAATTCTATAAATTTTGATCCACTAAATATGTTTTGTTACTTTCTTTATTAAATAACTTTGACAGTTTTGGACGACGTTAAAAAAAATACCTATTCTTATTTTTCTTTAATAAAAAAAAAAAAATTTTTTTATCGGAATTTCAAATTAGATATTTTTTAGCTTTTTCTTTACAAAAA